AGAGAGAAGGGAAGGGAGACGGGGGTGGGGGATGGGTATCAATGTGAGAAAGAAACACAGACTGGCTCCTCCTGCATACTCTCCGACCAGGGAGATCTAACCCCATCCTAGGTATGTGGCCTGACCAGGAATCACACCCACTGCTCTTTGGTATATCAAACAATGTTCCAACAAATTGAGCCACCTGGCCAGGGAAAACAAAAGGAAACAAGCAAAACAAAAAGACAACTTACCAACTGGGAGAAGATATTAGCCAGATACATACGATATGTGGTTAATATCCCAAATTTATAAAAAAACTCTTACAGCTTATAATACAAAAAAAAAAATCCAATTTAAAAAATGCCAGAGGACCTAAACAAACCCTCCAAAGATAACATACAGGTGGCCCACAGACATATGAAAAGATGCTCAATGTCACTAATTACCAGAGAAATTAAAACCACAATGAGTTATCACTTCACTCCTGTCAGAATGGCTATCATCAAAAAATCAATAAACCACAAGTGTAGGCAAGGATGTGGAGAAAACTCTTGGGCCTTGTTGATTGAGGAATCGGGTTTGTGAGTTTAAGAGTGACTGGGTTAGTGGTCAAAGTAGCCAGGAACTTGCCTCTGTAGAGGATAAGAAAACATAAAATAAACAACCTAATCAAAAAATGGGCAACAGACCTAAATATATACTTTTTGAAAGAGGACATAAAAAAGGCCAAGAGACATATGAAAACGTGGTCAAGGTCACAAATCATCTGAGAGATGCAAATCAAAACAACAATGAGGTATCACTTCACTCCTGTCAGAATGGCTATCATCAAAAAATCAATAAACCACAAGTGTAGGCAAGGATGTGGAGAAAACTCTTGGGCCTTGTTGATAGGATTGCAAACTGGTGCAGTCCCTATGGAAAAGAGTATGAAGATTCCTAAAAAAATTTTAAATAGTACCAAAAAAAAAAGTAATAATAAAAACCCAGCAATTCCACTTCTGGGTTTCTATCTAAAGAAACCGTAAAAGATATATGCACCCCTATGTACATACATAATAGCCAAGATATGGAAGCATCTCAAGTGCCCATCAATCGACAAATGAATAAAAAAGTTGTGGTACATATATACAATGGAATATCACTCGACCATAAAAAGAGAATGAAATCCATTTGTAACAACATGGAAGAACTGAGAGGGTATAATGCTAAGTGAAGTAAGTCTGACAGACAAAGACACACTGTAGGTGATCATGTGTGGTAATCACCAGAAAGATTGATCAGGAGGCCAGAGGAATCGGGTTTGTGAGTTTAAGAGTGACTGGGTTAGTGGTCAAAGTAGCCAGGAACTTGCCTCTGTAGAGGATAAGAAAACATAAAAGCCAGGGTCACAGGGGAATCAGAAGGGCTATCTACGTTCCACTCCAGGTTCTGGGATACTAGTTGCTGGTCTGGGAGTTCAGCAATCGGCTGAGTGAATAGCTGGTAGGCCTCTACCCCAACACTCTCGCCTTTCACCTTTTCTGTACTTTGCAATATTAAAATTTATTCTATTATTCAAGATACAACATGGAGTCAGTTTCAGGCACTCACATTTCCAAACTTTCTTGAAAAACATTATCAAGCTAGTAGTTACAAAGACATTCAGATTTGTAACTTCTTGTTATTTAGTCACATTGCTTACTTTTGCTTATTTCTCACCTTACCAAAGCTTGCTAAAGTCACCCCTGGAAAATTTGCAATCTCTATTAAAATTGCATTTATAACCTCAATAACCTAATTTGAAAAGCATATCATGACACAAATAAAAACTTACCCTTTATTGAGTATTAGACTTTCCTCTTCTGCTTCTGAAAGTACGATGACCTTAGTGGGTGTCTGGGGCTCACGTAGAGAGTAAATTCTAACAATCAAAAGAGAAGGAAGCCAGCACTTAAAATTCTCTTTCATTTCCCAAAATTGTCCTTTCTTCTACATCCAGTCAGTTCTTGAGAATTTTCCTACCAGTTATTACAACCATTTCTTTGTCAAAGATCTTGCTGTTACTGACAAAGGAGGTACTTCATTTGTTCTTTAATATTAGGAGGTTTCCTTGGGACCTGAAGAAATATTCTCCATCCTTACCTAAACTCTTTATTAGCCTACTCCATGGCATTGTACCTGTCTCTTCCACCTAAATCCTTAGCCATACTCACCTTGTCTAGTCATCTCACTACTGCCCCTAAGTTTGCCAGCTTCCCTTCAAATATACCCATCTTCCTTGGCCTGTTAGACAACAAATCTCACTAGAGAAGGAACTACATCTCACTATTTTGACCAGCGGAGTGAGTGATGTGTAGCCTACAATACATGTTTTTGTGATAGAAAAACTATCACGCCACCCCTATTTTCTCAAGGAAAGTTTAAAACTGAAAAAAAGATTTTTACCAAATCACTTTAATTTAAAATAACTTAAATTTTCACAGCATATATGGCTACTGTTAAAAGGAGAAAGAATTTTCAAAGGTCAGTAATATTATTAGAAATCCAATGTCTCTTATGAAGTCTTTTTACAAATTAACAAAATTAATCACTTATTTTGTCTGACCCATTAAGGATTTTAAAACATAGTCTGTTCCATTACCAATAAAATACCATCTAATAAATATTTTAAATGAAAATTTGATCCAGTTGAACACACATTCATTGTGGTCTTTCTATAAACTTTATTAACTTCAAAATATACATAAGCACAAAACAGTATATATTGTAATGGGGAATAGTGAAAAAGTAAATGCAACAGACATTGTGGGAATTTCTTGTTGCCCTGAAATTGTCAACAAAATACATAGCTTAGGAAAAGAGAAGTGCTAAATACCCCATGCCTAAAAAAGAACCTTTAATAATTGAGGCCAGATACTTCCTTTAAGGCTTAAGTGAGGAAGGCCTAGATCAGTGATGGTGAACCTCTGACACGCGAACTCATTTTTTTGGTTGATTTTTCTTTGTTAAATGGCATTTAAATATATAAAATAAATATCAAAAATATAAGTCTTTGTTTTACTATGGTTGCAAATTCAAAAAATTTCTATATGTGACACGGCACCAGAGTTAAGTTAGGGTTTTTCAAAATGCTGACACGCCGAGCTCAAAAGGTTCGCCATCACTGGCCTAGACTATACTATCTCCCACTGTCTTCTTTTCCAGCATAAACATACTAAGACAGAGGGTGTCAAGAGTCCTTAGGAGTACAGTACAATATTTGTAATGGGAAGTAATCCCTCCTTTCTTTATCCCCAACTCCAAAACCAAATGGGTGGACAGGGAAGGCTCTAAGAGAAAGTGAGATTTAGGAGTGCCTGTAATAAAGGGAGATCAGTATCTCATTTGAGTTGAATGCCAGATGTGTTGCAGAAAACTACAGGCCACAAAGGGAATTCTTGGGCAAAACTGACATTCCATATCCTAGGGTTGGGGGCATGTGATCACTATGTGGTATCTAATATGAACATATCTGAAGGAGGGAGGCTGGCACAGCATAAGAAAGGACCATGGGATAGTATGCCCAGTTCTCTGTGGTCCCTGGAGGGCAAGGAAAAGGATCTTGGCAGTTACCATGACTCCATATGAATGACCAAAAAGTTTAAGTAGAGAAGGGAGGAATATCAAGTTTGGGGCTACTCTTGAGAGTGGGTTCAGGGCATGGACAGCTAATAGAGCCAATGGGAGACAGATCCTCAATGATGGAGGGAGCTACCCCATAACTCTCTGAAATCAATAAAAATATATTTTACAAACAAACAAAAAACCTTATTTCTCGCCCGGTGGGCGTGGCTCAGTGGTTGAGCATCAACTTATGAACTAGGACAGTGATGGCGAACCTTTTGAGCTCGGTGTGTCAGCATTTTGAAAAACCCTAACTTAACTCTAGTGCCGTGTACCATATAGAAATTTTTTGATATTTGCAACCATAGTAAAACAAAGACTTATATTTTTGATATTTATTTTGTATATTTAAATGCCATTTAACAAAGAAAAATCAACCAAAAAAATGAGTTCGCGTGTCACCTCTGACACGCGTGTCATAGGTTCGCCATCATTGAAGTAGGAGATCAGGGTTCAATTCCTGGTCGGGGCACATGCCTGGGTTACAGGCTCGATCCCCAGTAGGGGGCGTGCAGGAGGCAGTGGATCAATGATTCTCTCATCATTGATGTTTCTCTCTCTCTCCCTATTCTATTCCCTCTGAAATCAATAAAAATATGTATTTTAAAAAAAACAAACACACACCTTATTTTTACCTACTTGAAAAATAGCCTGACTTCTATTGAGAGAGCAACGTGATAATTCAGGAAGAATAAAAAGCATAATCACACATATACTATAAGCATTATTATAAGATGCCAATGTGCAGATCATCTGGAGTATTCACAGTAAACATACCTTAAGAATCAATGGTCTTGAGTAATTTTCTGCATGTATTACAAATTAAAAGATAACAACTAAATGGAAATACAACTTACCTACAATTCACTGTTGATTTTCCACCTTCAAATTCAGAATTCTTCCCCCATCTTTTAGGTAATTCTAATATCATAAGTCCTTTTATTCCTATAAGTGCTATGTGATGTTGCGTTGGACTTAGTAAGACTTGGTAGATTTCAAACAGGGGTGGGTTTATGCAAAGCAATCTCTGAAATTAAAGCAAACTGGTCAAAATACTTAATTTTAATGTAAATATATGTGGCAATTACTTGAAAGCACAGTACTGCTTTAGTTTTCCATAACTGTAGGGTAATGAAGCATTCTGGATAATTACACTCGAGCCATTAACTGAAGAAATAGTTCTAACCATTTTGACTGGAATGTTATAAAATGCATCAAATTTCCCTACCTTGACAAATATTGCACATAAATTTCATCTTTATAATCAAGCTCCAGCCTCCCACTTCAGCCTCAACTCTCCACCATTCCCCTCTTGTACTTGACACTCCAATCAGATTAACTTGTACTTCTGGGTAATTATTATGCTTCTCTGTTTTTGCATACGTGTTTCTCTTCCTGCAATGCCCTCATTTTCCTTTTTTTTGGTAGCTAACATTTTTGGAGGAAAGCCTCGATACACTTTCCTCCCCCCAAAATATCCCAGGGATAAGTGCATCTTTTCTGGACTGACTCTTATAGCACCCTCTATTACAGTCTTATCACCCTGCATTCTAAGTATCTATTTACTTGCTCATCCCATACAACTACGAATATTAAGAATGAATTACTTAGCCCTGACTGGTTTGGCTCAGTGGATGGAGTGTCGGCCTGCGGACTCAAGGGTCCCAGGTTCCATTCTGGTCAAGGGCATGTACCTTGGTTGCGGGCACATACCCAGTGGGGAGTGTGCAGGAGGCAGCTGATTGATGTTTCTCTCTCATCGATGTTTCTGACTCTCTCTATCCCTCTCCCTTCCTCTCTGTAAAAAAATCAATAAAATATATTTAAAAAAGAAAGAATGAATTACTTATGAATCTGTGTCTTTTCTCTCTGTATCTTTAGCATAATATAACTCACTCTCAATATGTTTTAGTGAAGACAAATGAAGAACTCAGAAGCATTAATAAATGATAATTACATTATATTAGAAATAGTACAATAAGATAGAGAATGGGTTTAAGAATTTCTGTAGGAAGTAAAATGATGCTTTACCTATGCAGGTATGGAAGTGTTTGTCTCGGCATAATATGTCCTCAAAAAACATCACTTCTTCCTATTCTTGTTACCATGTTGCCTTTTTCTTTTCTTTCTACTTTCAGTAATAAACCATGAAATTGCCAACGTATTGCTTATCCTTATGTATGAAGAATCCCACTAAGTCAAAGTCCTTTTAGACAAGACGTTGTGAATATGAGATTTCTATTAATTATTACTGATGTCTATAAGCCTGTTTGTTTTTTTAGTTGCCTTTTTGCTGATTCTGTTTTTCCTCCTGTCATGGTTCTTTCCTTCTTTTCCCTATCTTCTCAACCCCCATTTTCTTTCTACTTGATTTTGGCAGTCTACCTGACATCAAATAGAAGCCACCTTTCTTCTGCTACACACAATCCAATTACCTTAAATCACGTGTGACGATCAGAGTACTTAGGGGTTTTTGTTTGTTTTGTTTCTAAGGCACCACTTACACTTTTGTTAAACTCGCAACTCATGCTAAGCTGCTTTTTTGCCTATCTCAGAGTTTTGGATCTTCTGGAAGATTGAGGGTCATTCAGACAAACACTAGTATTTACTGAGAGCTTATGTGTTCTAGGAGCTGAGTGAAATACTGGAAATACCTAAGAAAATAAGTAAGGCATACAGAGGCCATGACTTGGTGTTTACTGTCTAGAAAGTAGACAATAAATAAATATAAAAAATTTACTCATGACTGTGCCAAATGCTGCACAGCAATGTAGTGTACTAGTTAAATACTGTGTGCTGAGCATCTTGTAAGTTACTCTTGTAAATTGAAATATTAAAGTTAGTAGATTGTAGACCTGTGACCTATTTTCAAAACTGCAAAAATATACCTAGCACCTCTTTAGTTTCAAATCATTTCTCATCAACAAGAATCGAACAATGCCACACATTAGATGTGGCATTACAATGTTTGCCAAGTTTTTTAGTTTTTAATCTTTAAAAGAATCAGTTTATTACCAACTAGAGGCCCGGTGCATGAAATTTGTGCACTTGGGGCGGGCGAGAGGGGGGTGTTCCTCAGCCCGGCCTGTACCCTCTCGCAATCTGGGAGCCCTCGGGGGCTGTCCAACTGACAGCTTAGGCCTAACGCAGCAGTAGGACATCCTCCCGCCACCACCCCTGCGTTCGCCAGTCATGAGCCTGGCTTCTGGCTGAGTGGTGCTCCCCCTATGGGAGTGCACTGACCATCAGGGGGCAGCTCCTGCGTTGAGCATCTGCCCCCTGGTGGTCAGTGCGTGTCATAGCGAGCAGTCATTCCTCCGTTTGGTGGGTTTGCATATTAGTCTTTTATCATCTACTAGGAGCCCAGCGCACAGTATCACGCAGCATCAGCCACTCACCTGCAGCCCTGCCTTGACACCCGAACCTGTTCATGCAGAGCTCCAGCGTATCTGGCCCAGCCCCCAAATCCTCTGGCCGCCTCTGGCCACTTCAAGCCCCGACCTCAGTCCCTCCAGTTGCCCCAGGCTGGCCCTGCCTTCTCTGGGCGCCTCCCCGCTTCCGCCCTGTCTCCGGAGCAACATGGCGGCTCTGCCCCGTCATGGCTCTGGAGGAGAGCGTGGAAGCCTCCCGCCTGCTATGCTGTGCTCCTTCCCTGGCAGGTGGGCCACAGGGCACTCAGAGTGCAAGCGGTGGGTAGTGAAGAACTGGGGAGGGGGGTGCTATGGGCTCTCACCCGTGCCTTCCCCAGCACGGGATGGTCCCGCCGCCTCTGGGTGCCTCCCCACTTCTGCCCTGTCTCCGGAGCAACGCCCCAGCTAATATGCTAATGACCTGGTCATTACCCGTTACAGCGTCCCACTCATTAGCATATTAGCTCTTTATTAGTATACATACATATATAAAACCCTAATATGCAAATAGACCAAACGGTGCAACA